GGGGACTAGGAGAATGAAAAAAGAAGGGTCAGAATAATTGTTAACAGAGATGGGAGAACAAATCAAGAAGGAATAAAAAGGCTCAAGTGCTATTATTTAATATGAATTTGTAGTGGATTCAATTGGCATGGTTGCACAAATTCCTTGCAGTACGAATGAAAAAGGAAGATGGTGGGTGAATTCAGAACTTCAGCTTTGCAGGAGGGATATATCTGAATTGTGAATGGGGATGAGAATATAGGAAATAGCAACAGAAGGAGTTTGGGGGTTTTTTTCCTCCCTTGGTAAAAGTTGATCAGAATCACTGAATATTGAGGACATTTGATGTAAATTCTTTCTTCTCTCCTCTTTATCTTCAAAGCCCATGATATCATTCTGAACCACTCTTTCCTCCGCTGACCTCTGTGACCTGTGAGGTAACCCTTCTCTCTCTACATATGCCCTTGATCTCATCACTTCTTCAGCAGGTGGCAATCTCAATCACCTCCTCCTCACCATCTTCCCTACTACCTTAGTAGACCTTACCATCTCCTCAAGCTATTATCCCACATATTTCCTCTCTTTCTCAACCAAATTCCTGGGAGGAAAAAAAAAAAATAAAACCAAAAACTACATTTACTACTTCTGCTTCCTCTCCTCTCATGTACTCCTTAATCGATGCAATCTGGCTTTCATCCTCATCACTTGATGAAACTAAAGCTACTAATGATCTCTCTCTTTTTTTTAAAGATTTTTTTATTCTACACTTAATATCAAATAAATGAGCATTTCCATATATGTTGTAGAAAGGGAAAAGAATTGTACATGAAACTGTGAATATTATATACAGCTTTTCTTTTTAAATAAATTTGTTTTGTACCCAGACAAAAAAAAGATTACCAAAAAAACTCAATGAATTTGCATCTTTTTTTAAATTCACAACTTGAAACACAAACTCAGGAACATATTTTTGTTTCCAAGACAGACAAAAATATGTTTTGGACACAGAATTAAAGGGATAAAAATACATTTAAGAAAATACAGACTTCCTGACAGCACTTACCCATTCCCCTTTAACCTCCACCAGGAAAGCAAAGATTTGAAAGTAAGGCAATATTACAATATGTTTTATGAAATCTTTTATTCTTACCAGTATATTTAAACTATGCTTATCATCATGTTTGTTGTTAAACTGAATCTAATGAAGTTGGTAGCTAAATGGCCAGTTAAATTATGGGGGAGGGGGTCAAGATTCAATGTCAGTCTGGAATTTTTTTTTCCTCTTCCATGATTGAAAAAAAATTAAAAAAAATTAGAGGTAGAAACTTGAAATAACGTAAGCTGGGCAACTGTTGAACACCAAGAGGAATTACAAAAGACTATACATTCCTTATGTATATTTGATAAGGTGTGAATTTTTTTTAAAGAATGCTTTACAGGCATCGAGGTGGCGCAGTGGATAGAGCACTAGCCCTGGATTCAGGAGGATCTGAGTTCAAATCTGGCTTGAGACACATAACACTTACTAGCTGTGTGACCCTGGGCAAGTCACTTAACCCCATTGCCTAACACCCCCCCCCAAAAAAAGAATGCTTTACAGTATAACATAAATTAAGTTATATCTCCATGCTTCAAACTTTATAGATAAGAAAGTTTGCTGCTTTCCTGCTGAATTCAAGAAGAGATGACCATTTACAAGGACTCCAAGGGTAGGCCTAAGTATCCCCTAGAAAAAGAAATAGTTTTTTATTATAAATAGAACTGTACAAGTTCTATTTAGATTTAGATCTAGAAGGGACCTTGGAGGTCATTTAGCCCCACTCCCTTCTTTTAAAGATGAGGAAATGGAGCCCGGAGAGATCAAATAACTGACCCAATATCATACAGGTTGTGTCACAATAGGGAATTTGAACTCAAGTCTGCTGACTCTGCCACTGCAGCACTCTGCTTTTCATATTCTTTCTTTTTTTTTTTTTTAAGGCAATTGGGGTTAGGTGACTTGTCCAGGGTCACACAGCTAGTAAGTGTCGAGTGTTTGGTCTGAGGCCGGATTTGAACTCAGGTCCTCCTGACTTCAGGGCCGGTGTTCTATCCACTGCGCCACCTAGCTGCCCCATTCATCATTTCTTATGATGTATTAATATTCCATTACATTCACATACATTTTGTTGAGCCACTATTTGCAACCACTTCATTTCTAGTTCTTTGCTACGACAAAAAATGTTGCTATAAATATTTTTGTAAGTATGGGAATTTCCTTTTGTCTTTGATCTCAGGTGTTTTGCATAGCTTATAGGTATTTTTAGTATATTTATAAATTGTCTTTCTGAAAGGGTGGACCAATGCACAGATCTACCAACAGTGTACATTTGCGTGCCTATCTTTCTATAGTCACTCCAACATTATTTTTTTCTTTCACTATCTCTACAATCCGATGGGTGGTAGTGTGAAGTTAAACCTCAGAATTGTTTTAATTTGAACTTTTTGTATGGTTAGTGATTTGAAGCACTCTTTCTTACAGGATCGTGGATTTAGAACTGGAAGGTACGGTCAGAGGTCTCTGAGTCCAACCCCCACATTTTACAGATGAGGAAACTGAGTTGCAAAGAAGTGAAATTACTTGCCCAGGGTCACACGATAGTAAGTAGCAGAGCTGAAATTTGAATCCAGGTCCTCTGATCCTCTGGGCAGCTATGTGGTACAGTGGATCGAGTGCCCAGCCTCGAGTCTGGAAGACTCATCTTCGTGAGTTCAAATCCAGCCTCAGACACTGTGTGATCCTAGGCAAGTAACTTAACCCTGTTTGCCTCAGTTTTCCCATCTATAAAATGAGGTTGAGAAGGAAATCACAAACCACTCCGGTACTCTGCCAAGAAAACCCCAAATGGGGTCACAAAGAGTCAGATGTGGCTGTAATGACCAAACAACAATAACAATCTCTGACCTCCAATCCTTTACTTTTACCAATCTACCATACTGCTACCCTCCTCTGTACCATGCTCCCTACCCCTTCTATTTCCTCTTTTTAAAACTGCCTATTCATTTCTTTGAATACTGGAGAATGTTTCTTGTGCTCTTAAAATATTCTTATTTATTACTGAATGTTTTAAGTATTTGCATCAGTTATTAGAAGTTATTAAATATTTGTGTCAGAACTCTACACATCAGAAGTCGGTGGCAAAGATGTCCCCCCCACTCTATTGTTCCTGCATCTAATTTTAAAGGCATAGATTTTGTTTTATGCAAAAGCTTTTCAATTTTAATTGAAATCGAAAGGATAAATCCTGCTCTGTAAGGCATGTACAATAAGAAATATTTAGCAACTTTTGCAACATTTGGATGATTTCTTGGATGAATATTTTCTTTCTGTTATGTCAAGTGAGAAGGAACTTTACAAAAGGACTAGTTTTTTAAGCCATCATGATTAAATTCAAGGGGTTATTCAAAAGGATGTTTTCAAGATATAAGAACTGTAATAAGGAAAATGCAAATTAGCATTTTAGCATCCATCTTGTTGCTCAAAAGTAATCTCTTACGGTTTTAGGCTTTAGCTACTGTGTAATGGTTTTCTAATTTACTTATTAATGTGCTTTAAAAGATATCATATTTTAGATCCCAAACAACTTGAATTAACTAAGTTTGGGAAATTGACAAACGCGAAGAATCCAGAGGAGCAGGCACGGTACCTGATAAGCCTTTCACAAACGCTATCTGCTCTTATCTTACACCCACATACATGGCAATAGCTCTATACCTGAACTTGAGGGAAGTGTTAAGTGAAACTGACATGGGGAAGAGTACGCTTTGTTTGTTTCTTTGACTTAAGGATTTGGAACTTCTTGGGGCACTCTGATGATCCTATTTTGAGACTAAAGGAACTGGCCATAAAACAGTCATCAGAAAATGAGGGAAAGGGAATGGAAGACGGGATTTTCTGTTTTCTCACATATTCCTTAAGCATTCTTCCCATATTTATTTCTTCCACAAAAGAACAACATAAGGTACTTTATTGCACAGAGAGAGGCGATATGAGTATACAAACAAGTCTGCTGTTGTATGTAAATGACAGCATACCAGATTTAAATAACACCCTTCCTCCTAAGAATATAACATATTTAGGAAGATAGGTTTATTCTGAGTGTGTATATACTTTGAATATAAAAATCTGTATGCATTTTCCTTATACCTGACTTTAATATGGGGAAGGTGGGAAAGGGTGGTATTTCAAAAGGCATATTGTCCATAAAGTAAAGCTAACAGGAAAAACAAAATGCTAACCACTTTTGTACAGTTTTGCTAATGGCATATTTTTGCAATTGCTGGTTTTATATTCTTAAAAAAAGCATTTGGTAACACCTCATTGTTTTATTTAGTTCCTTGAATTTGGAAGTCTAGTGTGCACATTTCTTCCCATCAGAACTTTATGACTGGAAATTTTAAGTTTAAGGAAACTAAAGAAGGACAGAAGAAGAAAAATTCTGAATTGCTTTTTGGGTAATGTTTTAAGCAAGGTGCTACAATGCAGATTAAATACACTTAATTCAACATATCTTACATAAGTCAAATTTCCAGTGGACTTTGCAGCTTCAAAAATAAGCAATGAGGAGTTTTAACCACACCTACCAAAGCTACAACAGGCAACTATGAGCATGTGCTGGAGTATTTGTATTTCATTTAAAAGGATTTCTCTGAAAACTTCTCAGGGCATAAAATTAATCCAGAAAGATTTCAGTATTACTAATTATTTAGATATTTATAGGTAGCATTTTCTATAAAGGGACTCTATTTTAAAGTGACATTAAGTTTAGATTTTCAGAATGTCATACTTTATTCTAGTAGGATATGGAACAGAAAAACAAAACATGCTTTTCAAATTTGAAGACTTATTACTGATCCAGCAAACCCTGGATTTAAAGAAGAATACTTTAAAGACCTGCTTATATGTACAAATGAGTGTGAAGGAAATTGCAAAGCAGATGATGTTATCAACAAAAACAAACTCTCCTTAAATTCTCTCTTACCATGACTATGTCCCCAGGCTGGATGGTGATTTCATCATGGCTTCTTGATTCAAAAGGGTACAGTGCCCGGTAATACACTACCTTTACATCCTCTTGAGTAGAAATAGCAAGTGGGCCTTTTTCTGTTTATAAAGATGAGGTAAAGGAGACAAAAAAAAAAAAACCCAACCACATTAAATAATGAAAAAAATAACAAAAAGCAAAGGATGTAATAATCAAAATCTTTTCTTGGATCTCCCTTAATGTTCCTGAAACATCAAAGCTGACTTGGGAGATTTATAAGATACATATTAAATGACAAGGTAGATCAAACTCTGCCATCAGCATTTCAGCCACATTAAGCAGTTAGTTAACTTCCAGTTTTTGCATACAAAAAAATCCCCTGCTTCCTCGTCGGGAGAAAAGAAAAAGAGAAAAAGGAAGAAGGAAATAGGAGGAAGAAAAAGAGTCAGAGGTCACCTTTTTATAGTGCTTTCAAATTTGCAAAGCACTTTCATTATCTAAATATTGACATTGGGTTCACCTTGCCTTCAATTTCATTCTCACTAAATTTTGGCTTGGGTTTTCATACTCTGCAAACATCTTCTGCAAATGTAGAATGGAATGAAATTGTCAGGCTGTAAACCAAAACTTAATTCAGCCAAGGAGAGAATCTATCAGTGGGGTGTGAAAATTTTCACATTTATAAAAAATGTGGAAATAATAAGCTTCGATGCCATACATATTTCCATAATAAAAGTACTGATTTCACAATACCAGATTATTGAGGTTAGTCATTCTCTAAATCTCCTGGGAGTAAAAGTAAGTCTACCTGCCTCAAAGTAAAAATAACTTTTTTTTTTTGGTTGGGCAATGGGGGTTAAGTGTTATGTGTCTGATGCCGGATTTGAACTCAGGTCCTTCTGAATCCAGGGCCGGTGCTCTATCCACTGCACCACCTGGCGCAGTTAGAACAACACCAAATTCTTTCTCTAATGATTCATTTGAACTCCCCAGAGCTCAAGCGTCACCACCCACATTCATCTTTCTTACATTTGGTAGGCAGAAGATGATATTAATTTTCACTGGGTTCAGTACTGTGTTACACATTTGGGAGCATTTTCTTGTTATACAAGGGCAAATTTTTACAACTAAAGAAACAAGGGCACAACAAAGTTAAGTGATTCTTTGCCCCCCAGGAAACAGAATGATAACAATGATAAAAATCAAAATTCTTTACAAATGACAAAGGGAAAACATGATTTTTTTCAAGGGCAAGTAACGAATTGAAAACCACACAAGGTTATACCATCTCTTAAAAAAAATTTTTCAGATGATACAGAGGGTCGGTCCAATCTTATATAACTGATGAGTCCTTACCAAGGCTATTTCAATTACTACTTCAATTTAACCAACATTTATAAAACAACTCATATGCAGGGCATAGTACCACTAACCATTGTTTATTTCTTAAAGGACAGATCTTTCTTTTGCCTTTCTTTTTAAAAAATTTCTTCTGCCCTCCCCCCATGCCACTCCCAAATTAGTAAGATCCCACGAAGGCCAAAGAAGCCAGTAGACTTTTCAAATGGTGCAGCCCATAAGTCATTTTGAGACCAGATGTACTGAATGTCACAAATTGTGAGTGTATGGAAAAAAATTGTATTTCCTACTGCTGAAAGAGTTGTACAATTCCTAGAGAAAGTTATATCCTGAAAGAGCAGTAGAACTTTAAGATGCTGCATAGAAAACAGAGGCAAAGTGAGGGGGGAATGGTGTGATAATGTTTCATACCACTTTTGTTAGCCCCTCCTCATTGCTAGAGATGTTTAACACAATTCAGATGTGGGAAAGGGGTTTTTGTGTCGTTACAATTTGCTTAACTGTACTTCCTTTTTTACAAGGGAGGGTGCTATGTAGTAGAGTGGGTATTGGGAAAAGACAGTGATTTTTTTTTCCCCAAAGCATCCATAAAGCATTTTTTTAAAAGAAACAGTTTGAGTCTATTAAGATAATGACTGTAAGTGAGAAGATGATGACATGTACTTACCTATTCAAAATTACAGCCTTTCAGTTATAGCAATTGTGAGACTCAGAGAAAAGATTAAAGCTTTCTTCTGTATATGTATCAGATAAGAGTCTGATTATGATTAATGAAATATCTTTACTGGGTCAAGAAAGGGTATATTTTTATAAAACTATTTCATCCACATTCTTTCCTCCCATACCTGTAGATGAGCTGGGTGTCTGGAGAGTGGGCTTAGCTGGTTCTTGGTATTGTTGAAAAAGCTTATTCAGCTTATCTTTCATTTCCTGTTTGCCTTTTTCCTCACCATCTTTTTTCTTGACCGGCTCTTCTCTTAGTTTCTCTTCATCGTGGAGTTTTTTTGGCCGTTGATACTCTTCATCCTGTTGAACTCGGTCAAGCCACTGCTTATCTTGTGAACGTCTGCCAATAATTATTTTTTAAAACAACAAATTAAATGAGTCTCACTTAATAAGAGTTAGTGTGGTGACTGACAAAATTCTGGATTTGGTGTCAAAAGAGAGAACTCAGCTCCAACACTACCTCTGACCCTTAACATGAACAAAAAAATTATCTTAATTTCTTTGAGCCTCAGTTTCTTCCTCAAAAAAAAAAAAATGGAATCATACCAATAGTACTTACCTCATAAATCAAATGAGATAACATAAAGGGTTTTATGAACTTTAAAGTACAATATAAGTTATAGCTATCACTGATAGTTCTCAAATTAGAGCTTGGCCAATGGGACATTCAATAACAAGAAGATTTTTATTTTTTTTTATTTTTTATTTTTTTGCCTTTTGGCGAGGCAGTTGGGGTTAAGTGACTTGCCCGGGGTCACACAGCTAGGAAGTGTCAAGTGTTTGGTCTGTGACTGGATTTGAACTCAGGTCCTCCTGACTCTAGGGCTGGTGCTCTGTCCACTGTACCACCTAGCTGCCCCCAACAAGATATTTTTTTCACCTCACATCAACAAACATTTATTGAGCATCTACTACGTTCAAATAATTATGTTTGACTCTGGGATGCTCAGAGATTCAGATGATACAGATAGCAAATCATACATTCTGGCACATTTTGTATTACTCTTGTCCCTGTCTTGCCCCAGTTCTCCACAGAGAGGCCCTCCTTCTTTCTTCCTGGATCACAAAGGAGCACTCTAGTTATCCTTTACCTTTGCCATATAACCAGGCCATCTTTTCATCAGCACTAGGCAGTTAGTTAGGCACCAACATGGGCGCAGTGGGTAGAGCGTCTGGCCTGAAGTTAGAAGACTCACCTTCCTGAGTTCAAATCTGTCCTCAGACACGTATTGGCTGTGTGACTCTGGACAAGTTACTTAACCCTGTTTGCCTCAGTTTCCTCATCTATAAAATGAACTGGAGATGGAAACTGCAAATCACTCCAGTATCTTTGTTATGAACAGTCAGGTAGGACTGAAAGGACTGAATAACAAGAACAAGCAGGGATGGGGAACCTGCAGCCTATTGACTGAGTCCGAGTTTTACTGAAGTTCGGACTCAATCAAAGGGCTGTACTTGAGGACCTAGAGGGCCACATGTGGCCTCGAGGCTACAGGTTCCCCAACCCTGGTAGGGGATAGAGAAATGGAACTGGAGTCAAAAAAGGCCTAAGCTCAAATCCTGTCTCAGATACTTAGTGGCTATAAAACCATACACAAGTCATTTAACTTTTCTTAACCCCAGTTTTCCTCATCTGTAAAACTAGGATATTAATAACATCTACCTCACAGAGTTGCTGTGAACAAGATATTTCTTGAGAAATACAAAGGCACAGATACAAGGATTTTAGATTATATTTCTACTGACATTGTTTCATATTCCCCTGGAGCACCTGATAATTACAGAACTTGTCCAATTTCCTTCTTTCTTAAAAATAAGAACAAACCAACTAACCTAGAGATGCATTCTAATGATCGAGAGAAAAATATATTTCATGATGTAGTATTTAATTGTAAAATTTGTATGCATATAATTTTTGTAACTACAGGATGTTTTTATTACAAATAGAATTATAAATATAATTTCGCTTTAACAAGTCAATGACCAGACAACTGAATTTTTCACTCAGGCAAACACATGTCTTCAGGGGTCTTGAACTGCATCTATAAACACACACACACACACCAGTCTGAGCATCAAAACCAAATCAGCAAGATGATTATTTTGAAAACTACCAGTTGGTTACCAAATGCTACTAACTAGTAGTTTTATTGAATTTGATTAGCATTTTCTTTTCCAACTGACTTACATACACAAAGTATCCTCACTCAGTTAACTTTGGGGAGTAGAAAATCAAGATAGTTACTGAAACTTAGATTTGAAGTTATTTTTCTCCCACACCATAAATTTCTTACTGTGCGAGAAAACTACCATATGTGTGCAATAAAAAGAAAACCATTCTGTAACTTATTCCCTAAATCATTATACATACTCTAGTCCCACTATAGCTTCTCGCTTAGCATTTACTATACTTGAATTGCTGAAAAAAAATTACCATAAGCAGAACCAAAATACAATAGCCTAATTCTGAACGTTTGAAAAGTAGCAAATTTAAATTGTGGCATTAACTTACAAAATGGTATAATTTCCAGTCTATTACATAATTTATTTTAATTGCCCTCATTGGAATTTAGTAAATAATGAGCATGATGTACAATACATGGCCTTGTAATAATACGCATTATGGTCTTTATGCACTGGTTGCCTTTGTTAACTTCTCACTTCAAATATAACTTGCAGGAGAGAAAGCTTAACCTTTTCTATACTAAGTACAGTATACAAATGGAATTAAAGAACTCAATAATATATGAAACCTTTTTTCAAAATAAAATATTTTTTAAAGTTTTTAAGTTAAGTGTAAGAGCTTTTTAAGTGTAAAATTTCATTTGTATGATATGTAAAAGAAAAAATGAAGGACTAGGCAATATATCAATCAACCAAAGAGATTAAAAGCCTTCTATGTGCCAAGCTCTGGGGACAAAAAGACAAAAATTAAATACCATCTGCTCTCAAGAAAATAACACGTATATTAACTGACATATATAAAACAAGACGAATTTTTTTTGGGGGGGGCCACTAGCAGCTGAAAGGAATCAAGCCACATTTCACATAGAAGGTGGCATGGAGTTGTGCTTTGAAGGAAACAAGGCATTCTAACAGATGGAGGTGAGGAGAGAGGGCATTCCAGGCATTCAGGACACCTGGTGCAAAGACTGGAGACTGGAGATATGCATGTTGAGTGTTGTGTGTGTGAGGCACAGAGAGAAGGCTAGTTTGGCTGGACTGCAGAATATGGGAAAGGGAGTATTCTGAGTTCAAAAGGTAGAATGGGGTCAGTTTATGAAGCAATTTGAAAACTAAACAGCAGAGTTTATAGCTGATCCTAAAGGCAATAGGTAGTCACAAGTTTAATGAGAAACAGATATGGTTATATGGTCAGAACTGTACTTTATGAAAATCATTTGGGAAGCTAAGTGAAAGATGGATTAGAATTCCTAATTCATTGGTCATGCCTGGGGAACTGGAATACTCTTTGCCCCTCACTGTCATTGTGAGGTTCTCCCTCCACCATTATCACTCAGTTAGCTCTCCTTCTTTAAAGTTCATTCAATATAATATATATTTATTACCCAATCAACATTCTGGTAGCTGTTATCTATAGACCTTCTAAGGTCACTTAGACACTCTAAGGAAAGTCTTCTGCCTTCAACATATTAAGGTCCTAGCACACAGTCTTCTTGTCTTCCTCACATGTCAATTAAAAAAAAAATCTTAAGGCAATCACCAAAATGTCCCTCTTTTCACCTCCTCCCCACTTTGTATCACCCAGATGCCTTCTACCAATATTTCCTCCTTCACTCCCATTTCAAATGAAGAGGTCACCTTTCTCCTTGTCAAGGCAAGCCCCTCTACACACAAATGATCTCATTCCATCTGCCTCCTCCCACAGACTGCCTTCTCTATCATCTCAACTCTCTGTCTACTGGCTGCTTGCCTATTGTCTATGTACACACCCATGTTTCAATGTTCACCTGTGTTCACTCCCATCATCGAGAAACCCTCCCTGATTCCTCCAATCACACTATCACCCTATAGTTCTCCTTTTTATGATGAAATTCCATAAGAATGTTGTCTCTAATTGGTGCCTCTACTTCTTCTTCTCTGAGTCTTCATAAGTCTCTGCAATCTAGATTCTGACCTCATTCTTTAACTGAAACTACTCTCTCTGAAGTTATCAATGATCTCCTACTTGCCTTTTCTCAGGCTTCTTTCTTTTGGACCTCTCTGACATCGTAGATCACCCACTTCTCCTTCATACTCTCTTATCCCTAGGTTTTTATGACATGTCTCTCTCATGATTCTCCTCTTACCTCTCTGACCATGTCTTATTAACCCCTTTTGCTTTAGCTTAATCCAGAACACATCTGCAAACCCTGAATATCCCCTGAAACCACCATCTTGGGCTCTCTCTCTCTCTCTCTCTCTCTCTCTCTCTCTCTCTCTCTCTCTCTCTCATTTTGCTTGATGATCTCATCAGCTCCCACTGATTCAATTATCATCTATGCAGACAATTCTCAGATATATTTATCCAGTCTGGTCTCCAGGCTTACATCTCCAGCTGTCCACTGGACATCTAGATGTCTCTCAGACATTTTAAACTTAACATATCCCAAAACGAGCTCATTGTATTGCCCACCTTCCTAATTTCCCTATTTCTGCTGAGAACATTTATATCCTCCTAGTCACCCAGGTTCACAAGTAGGTATCATCTTCTACTCTTCATTCTTATGCCTCAGATCCAATTAGTTGCCAAGTCCTGTTGAATATACCCTCAAAACACTTCTCATATGTGCCTGTTCTTTCTTCTGACCCTGCCACCATCATGGGGCACCATCTAGTCACCTCATACTGTACTATTACAATAGTTTTGTTCTGCTTGGTCTCTTTGACTTGAGTCTGTCTTCATTTCATCTTCCATTCAACTGTCAAACTGATCTTCCTAAAATGTAGACCTGAGCATGTTATCCCTCCTCCCTCTTTCAATAATCCAGTGGCACCCTATCACCCTTAGGATCAAATAGAAAATAGACTGGTCTTTAAAGCCCTTTCATAATTGGGCAGCCAGATTCTGGCTCCTTCCGACTTTTTCAGTCTTCTTATAACTTACTCTCTTTGTATATTCTATGATCCAGTAACATTGGCCTCCTTGCTGTTCCTCAGGCAAGACACTATTTCCCAACTCCATGCACTTTCAGTGGCTATCCCCCAGGCCTGGAATTCTCTTCCTCCTTCTCTCAGCTTCCTGTTTCCTTAGCTTCCTTCAAATATCTTACCTTCTTCAAGAATTCTTTCTTAGTCTCCCTAATGGTAGTTCTTTCCTTCTGATATTACCTCTGATGAATCCTGTATATATCTTGTTTATACATAGCTGTTTGCATGTTTTCTCTTCCTTTAGACTGTCAGCTCCCTGACAGTAGGAACTGTTTTTGTCTCTTTGTATCCCTAGCACTTAGCATAAAGCCTGGCACATAGTAGGCACTTAATAAATGCTTGTTGTTGTTGACCTGAGATAAAGAAACCAATTAGGCGGCCATTGTGATCATCTAGGTGAAAGATATCGAAGGCCTGTGGTTGCCATGTGAGCAGAGAGAAATGGACAGATGAGAGAGACAGAGAGAGATGGAGAAATACAGAGTGGGGAGGAGGGGAGAGAAGAAATGAGATTTGGCAACTGAATTGGACATATACAGTGAGGGAGAGTGAAGGATGAAGAATTGTACCAAGGTTGCAAACCTGGGTGAGTAAAAGGAAACTCTTGATAATAAAGGGGAAGTTTGAAGGGAAAGATAATAAATATAGCATTAATCCTATTGAGTTTGAAATGCCACGGAACATCCAGTTCAAAACATCTAATAGGTAGCTGGAGATACATTAGAAGGCATCATGAAAGAGAATGGGGCTGAATATATGTATATGAGTATATTAATGTGAATGTTATACACATATGTACATATTTACACATATGAGTCATCTGCATAGAGATCATAATTAAACCAAAAGGAGCTGATAAGATTGTAAAGTGAGAAAATATACAGAGAGAATAGATGACCCAGGAAAGAAACATGGTGAACACCTACAATGAGCGGCCATGATATGGATGATGAACCATCAAACAAGACCAAGAGGGACCAACCCAACAGGTGGGAGGATAGTTAAGAGTGAGCAGGTCAGGAAAACTCAGTGTTCAGAGAGCATCCAGGAAGAGCATGGTCAACTGTCAAACAGACATTGAAGCAGACAGGTCAAGGAAGATGAGGATTGAGAAAAGGCCATCAAAATAGATCACATGGTAACCTTAGAGAGTTATCTTTTTCAAGATATCTTTTTCTAGGAGTTTGGCTGATATAAGATGATAGCTGGAGAGGATGGTAGTGTTAATGAAGGTTTTTTGGTTTTATTTTGTTTTTTAAATGGGGGAGACTCAGGCATTTTTGGAGGCAGGAGGTAAGGAGCCAGAGGACAGGGAAAGGTTAAAGAATAGAGGAGCGGGATGATTTAGGGGGCAGTTAACTGAGAAAAAATGGGAGAAAATGAGATAAAAATTACATGTACAAGGGGTTGGTCTTGAGTAAAACAGTCATCTCTTCATCAGAAATTAGAACAAAGAAACCAGAGCCTTCTCCTCCCAACTCTGCCATGTAAAAGTGAAAAAATGTTTCTTCCACCAGTTCATGGCACTGACCACCAAAGCAAGAACACACTAATCATGCTCAGTGCATTATATTAATAATAATAATATTTATAAAACATTTAAAGGTTTGCAAAGCACTTCACATGTACTATCTCACTTACCAAGGCAAATCACAGATGATCACTTACCCACAAAAGAGCAAGAATCCCTTCTAACAAATGATAATGGCTGGCAGTTAGCCAGACATATGGAAAGGAAAGACTCAAGTATGACTGAGAGGATGGTTATGCATACCATTAGCAGAAACAGGAAAGGCAGTAAGAGGTGATTTGAGAGGCAAGAAAAGTTTGGTTTTGGAAATATTAAGTCTAGGGCACATTTCCGTCTTATTGGGTTAAAAAGAATTAATAAGAAACAAGAATTAATAAAAATTTATGTTCTTGAAGTACAAGGACATCAACAGAAATCTCTTCAATCTTCGTCTTTTGTTCTAACCAGATAATCCAAACGTTTGAATCTTTTTTTCTTATTCCAGTACCTAACTGAAATCCAAAAGAGTCAGAAGAGACCTTAGATGTGATCAATGCACGAACCCAGTACTGAATAAAGTGTCTGATACATAGTAGGTGCTTAATAAATGTTAATTGATTGATTAATCCCTTCTACTACGTCCTTATAAGTCATCACACTGCCTTACCTTAAGCATTCCTTATGGTTCAAAGGTTCAAAATGAACTTGATTGAGATTTCCCTACACTTAAAAGAATAATAAGTTCTTTTGCTTAGCTGTGTAGTGTACTCAAACAAAAATAAACACGCTTGAAAAGTGTGTATGTATGTGGGTGGGTGTAATTTGTACTCTAAGCAGCTGTGGCCATTTTTCTCTTTTTATGCTCAAGTCTATATTTGCTATAGGAAGAAAAAGAAAAAAAGGGATAGAATAAAACACTGTGTGAATTCTGCTGGAGAAACACTGAAGAGAAGCACATCACAGTACTTTGATTCGGGCTTGGCTTGGCTCTCCTGATTGTCGCCGTTATTAAAAAGCTGTGAACTGGAAACGTATTTTGGTTCTCCACATGCAAAGGAGCAAACCAACCGTTCTCATTTCCTTCTATCATTCCAACAATGACACTGCAATGGGACTAGAGAGTTCTGGGAACAAACTCAAAGCTATGTGGGCTATTTGGGCATGCAAAGACTTTTATTCACATGGAAGCTAACGCAGGTGGCTTCCTTTTTTTTTTTTTTAAATGCTGGGACTATTTGGAGAAATCTGGGCGAGAAAGAATGAATGTATTAAATCCCTTTCACAACTGCCCATAATAAACAGAAGAAACTTACCTTTGGGTTTCCTCTTTTTGCTTTTCTAATTCTATTGTTCTCCTCTCTTTTTCTTTCTGTTTCAACCTTTCCGCCTCTAAATTCTTCTGTTTTTGGAGCTGTTGCTTGTTATGTATTTCTCTTAGTTCCTAAAAGTGACCAAAAAAACAAACAAACCAGCATTTAAACAAGGTAAGAGTCATTTATAACTGTTTTGTTAGCATGCAGGGTTTCCTACAGGGGAAGGCTGTAATTCTTATGGTCTATTCTTAGAGTCATCCATCCTCAACAAGGCTCATTGCAGCAAGGTGATCTTTTTTATTCAGCTAGGGTGGTACCCATAGATAGATCACAGGACCTGGAGTCAGGGAGACTTGAATTCAAAAGCAGCTCAAGACACTAACCGTGAGACCCTGAGCAACTCGACCTCTGTCTGTCTCAGTTCCCTAAACTTTAAAGTGAGAATCTTCATAGCACCTACCTCTCAGTGATGTGAGCATCAAATGAGCTAATATTTGTAAAGTACTAGCACAATCCTAGGAACGGAATCAGTACTTATGCTCATTTCCTTCTTTCTATTCCTTCTTAATTAATTCTCTCTCATTCCCCACAGATACTTACTACAAACCTCCTCTTCCCTCCTCAAGCATTCCACTGATTTCCCTATCCTGGTGCTCTCAGCTGAAAAAATTGCTTAAATGAGAAAATTAAAACTACTACTTAGTTACTGTAAAACTCAGAAAATTAAGACCACTCTCCATGAACTCCCTCTTATCCCCTTCTCTTCATCACCAAATCCCTTCTCTCTTCTTTTTCCCCAGTCTCAGACAGTAAGTGATCCTGCTTGCCAAGGACAGCTTATCTAAATGTACCTTTGATCTCATAGCTTCCTGTCTTATAGGAAATAGCAACCTCAATCACTCTCCCCCAATCTTCAACCTCTCCTTAGCTACTGATGCCTTCTGTACTGCCTTCAAACATACCCAAGTCTCCTCCACCCTTAAAAAACCTTCTGCAGACCCTACCATCTCATCCAGCTACTGTCCTTTCTCAACCAAACTCCTAGGAAAAAAACTGTCTATATTTTTGTTGCGTCCACTTCTTTCTTCTCTCTCTCCAGTACAGCTTTCAAATGAAACTGCTCTCTCTAAAATTACCAATTAGCTCTTAATTGCCAATTTGATGGTCTTTTCTCAGTCCTCATTCTTCTTAATCTACATTTGACACTGTTAACCATTCTCTCCTCCTGGATACTCTAGCCCAGTTGGTGGTTCAGTGGATAGAACATGGTACTTGGAGTCAGGAAGACCCAAGTTGAAATTTGGCCTCAGATACTTTCTAACTATGTGACCCTGTGCAACTCACTTAACCTCTTTTTGCCTTAGTTTCCTCAACTGTAAAATGAGGATAAGAATGGCATCTACCTCTCAGGTCTATTGTGAAGATCAAATGAGACATCTGTAACAAAAAAGCGCTTAGCACACTGCCTGGCACACAGTAAGTGTGATACAAATGCCTCTTTTCTTACTTGCTAGTCTCTGGGTTTTCATGACATTACTTTCTCCTGCTTTTCCTACTACCCAACTACCCCTTCTCATTATACCTTGCTGCACCATCATCTGTATCATATGCCCCAACAGATGGTGCTTCTCAAAGCTTGGTACTTGGCCCTCTTCTCTTCTCCTGATATGCTCTCATCTGGTGGCTCCATGGATTTATTTGTCATCTCTATGAAGACGTCTTCCAGATGTGTATACATCCAGCCCCAACCTCCTCTGAGCTTCAGCCCTGCACCGCCAACTGCCCGTCTCATACTGGATGTTCCAGGGTCATCTCAGACTCAACGAGTCCTAACAGAACTCATCCTTCCCCTCAAATCTTCTCCTCTTCAAAACTTCCTCTTTTCTGTCAAGAACCACCATACGTGCATCTCCCACGTTTGTAAGCTGGACACTATCTTCAATTTCTCATTGCCTTAGTGCACGTATTCAATTGGTTGTCAAATCCTGCCACTTCTACCTTCACAACACACCTTGCATTCGTCTCCTTCTTATTCACATAGCCACCACTCAAATAACTTTTTAATTGGCCTCACTGTCTATTTCCACTTCAGTCCATCCTCCCAACCCTCCAAGCTACCAGTGACTTTTTAAAAATTGTATATCTGATCACTCTATTTCCCTATTTTGTAAACTCCAATGGCTTCCTAATTCCTCTAGACTCAAATATAAATTCCTCTCCTTTTTAAATCTCTCTTCACAACCTGGCCCCAATCTATCCTTCCAGCTTCATTATACATCCTTCCTCTTTCCACATGAGGCACACCAGAAAAACTGACCTCTCAGTTCCTCCATCTGCCACTTCTGTCCCTTTGCACTGACCATTCCCATGCACTCTCTCTTCATCTCTGATCCACAGAATCTTTCTCTTCCTTCAAGATGGAGTTCAAGTAATTGCTAGTGCCCTCCCTCCAAAACTATTTTTATTTGTTTATATTTATTCCCTTTACATTTATTTGGTATATACTTATATGTGTACTTGTTGTCTCTCCTGTTACAATGTAAGTTCTCTTTGAGGAGAGAGTTTCCATTTTTGTATCTGTAGCCTCCTCACCTAGCACGATGCCAGACACCTAAAGGGTTCTTGAGAAATGTTCACTGATTGGTTGATTATAAGAGAACAAATCAGGCTTGAAAAGCAATTAACTTTTAAAACTATGAGCTTTTGGTGCATTTTAACATATTTTACTTTCAAAGAATTATTCAACCACTAACATTATTTGCTGCTATTTGTTGGAAGAAACTAATTCCACAAAAGCATGAATAGAAGGTATGTCAATTGAACAACTTAAAGGTAGTACACGTTAAATAATTTCTATGCATAAAAAAAGGAAGACCTCACCATTCCTTTTGCAGAAACAAACCAATGGCCCTGAAAATACCACAAAGCTCCCTTCAAAAACCATTTCCATTATTCATCCTTTTTATCCTGCTAAATGAATCTTTTCTTAACTGCACTGGCTTCTCTTTTCTTCTCACATCCTCCATATTGTATTTTTGGAATAACCTCCTATCCTACTTTTTATAAATATATGTTCAGTTTTCTTCAAAACTTTTCCTCAAAACTCTTCCTAACTAAAGAGGTGTGTGTTGTCATCAACAACTCAAGACACAACCAACTCCAGCTTCAAAAATGGAAAAGAGAAATCTATATTTTGATGATCAATAGTTAATATATATTTACTAGCTTTAAGAGCTTGAGTAGTAATTTTCTTGACAGGCTCCTGAAAATTAACCATTTACCAAGTCATTCAATTCAGGTGTTCAAAATATAAATACGAATCAAGTTTCTGATTCAATCTATTTCAAATGCCTTAGTTTTACTAATGGAAAGAAACACTAAAAATAATAATAACAAACACAAATAATAGGAGAAAAATTTATTTGCTTTCCTCACAATAACCCCATGTGGTAGGAAGTGTAGGTATTATCACCCCCATTTTATATTGCATGAAATAGAGGCTGAGACCTGAGGATAAGTAACTTGGTCATGGTCACACAGACAGTAAGTGGAAGAGCCAGGTCTTCTAACTCCATATTCTGTGCTCTTTGTACTCCTCTACTCTGCTTCTTTACCTGGATTATTTACAAAGCAGATGACTCAACACTCAACACTATAAAACAAGATACAAATATTTATTCCCAGGTTAACCTCTTAGAATATCTAACTAAGCAGAATAAGTATCCATTGAGATACGGAAATTTATGAAGACTACAAAGTCTGAAATTTCCCCCAACATTTTACCCTCACTGACCAGGCCATGGCTCATACTCTTCCTTCAAACTCCTATAACTACAGGGATCCTCTTTTGGGTTAGATAACAAAAGGCTGGGGGACTTTCTCCAGGTTAATGTTAAGTGGGATGGGACTAGGGGGAACTTTCTGTCCTTTTTCTTATGTCAGTATCTTGATAGATCTGTGATTTTGTCATTGTGGGTCTTACTTCCAGTAGGATAGATGGCAACCCACTCATTCCTTCTTAGCCTCTTTGGCCCTTGTTTCTGCCCTTCCAAAAACTCATGCACAGGGGATTCATCCACCATGTTAGAAGCCTTCCTCTAGTTCTTTGTGAGGATACCAGTGGCACCAGCTGATCTCCAGTGACTTCTTACCATAAAATTATTTTTTGTTTAAATTTTATTCTTTTTTTTTAGCCATCACTTTCATTTCCAAATGACTCTCTCACCTGACCTACACAGAAAGCTACCTTTTTGTTAAAGAAAACTGGGGGGGGGGGGGGGGGGGAAGGGGAAGAAGCTCAGAAAAAATGTCCAAAATATTATCTGAGTCTGCACCATCTATATTCAGTTTTCTACAGTGTAGATTTTACACCTATACACCTCCCCACCACCTGCAAAGAAGGGAGGTAGTATATTTTCTCATCTCTTCTTCAAAATCACGCCTGGTAATTATTACATGTGGCCTTCTGTTTCATTTTGGGGGTTCTACCTATTTTTATAGCAATCAAGTATATTGTTTTCCTGTTTTGGGCTGACTTCATTCATATCATACATCAGTTCATATTAGTCTTCCCATGCTTCTATGAATTCTTCATACCGACCATTTCCTATGGCACAGCAATATACAAATACATTCATGTCTCACAATTTATTTAGTCATTCTCCAAATGATGGGCAGAATCTACTTCTTTTCCAGTTCTTTGTCACTACCACAAAGAACTGCTATGAATATTATGGTGTATACGGGGCCTTACTCTCTGTCTTTGATCCCCTAGCAACATTTCCCTCACTCTTGCTACAAGACTGGTCAATCTCAGTTTCAACTCATATACGTCTCTGATGGCATCCTTTCTATCAGAGGTGTTAAACATATGGTCCTTGGATGGCACGTGGCCCACAACACCCATGAGTGCAGCCCAAACCAGATTAAAACATAATTTGGAAATATTTAACAAAACAAAAATCCAATAAAATAGATAATATTAATATGTGGTTGTCTAAGTCAATATGAAGCCTATAGGGATCCTTAATTACAGTTTAATAGCTCTATTTCAGTTTGACACCATTTTTTTATGCCATTTCTCCTTCGAAGAAATGAACATTCATCACTGGCCTGGTAATGCCCTTCA